ATATAATATGATGGTGTATATTTAATCTAAGTTTTTACTATTTTTTTAATATTTGTTTGAGATTTTGACCTTTTTTTTAAAAAAATAAAATCTACTTGACCAATTAATCCGATTAACCGCTTCGATTAGTCCGGTTCCAGTTCGAACCGCTCCCAACCTCATGACCGGTTAACCGTTCCGGTTTAATTTTGCGAACATTGCTCTTAGTCGACCAAAGCTCTTTTGAAACACTATTCTATAAAATAACAGGAAATTCCACTCCATCATCCTGCATACGGAACAAACCTTGGATTTGGCTGCTGCCATGTCGAAGACCAGTTGGTATGTGATATACAGTTTAGTAGAGCCAACTCATCGCTGTTCCTTAGGAATTAGTGGTGGATACCCTTGTACGTTAGTATATACATTCATCAGCTGGCGCCTGATAAATTTGACACGGAAAATATGCCATGCACTGGTGTATATAGTACACCGCATGCCCCAACAAACTAACCATGGCTCCTGGTGACGAACGAGGGGATTGTATCCAATAAGACATTTGCCAAATGCTAATTTTTTTACCATAACACATGGGATATCCTTGTGCATCACATACTACTTGGAAAAGCGCATGCAATGGATGGTTCTATAAACAACGGATAATTATTTTTTAAAAAATAATCCACAAATCCACCTTGTAGGAAAAAAAATCATCTTTAATTAGTTAGCGCTTGACGATTTGCAATGCTACCTCCTACGCTCAATACCTACCAAGGTAGAGGCCCTCTCCCCACTGACTCACCACACAAAAAAACAAAAAAACAAAATCTCTTCGTTAAAGATACAATCCTTAAAATAATAGGGAATATCTCTTTGTGCACATGGCGTCCAATATATGTAATGAGCGTAAGGCAATTTTATTAAAACAGGAATCTCCTTTTCCACTTAAAATTTCTATTTATATATTCTATTTAAATTTGCAACCAGTGTAAGATTTAATTTGATTGCTGAAAAGTGACCCAAATATCCCACTTTATAGGATGTCCCAATAAGTACCCTACCCTAAAGCCTCTCTCCTCGTAAGGTCCTACATTAGCTGAATGCGACGCATCTCCGCACCTAACTGTGACGATATATATGTACAGGAACACTTCGTATGAGTTTTGCATCCAAAAAATTTGATATAGCAAGAGATATCCATACAAAAATAATTCAAAATTAAATAGCGCGCTTAAAGATAAAATTTATGTCGTTCTACCTAATCACACAAAGTTCGAAGTGGTAATGCATAGCAACTATTATGAAGTCCCAAGTGTTCAAAGCTGATATTTTTGTTACGTATTAAAACATACTATATTAGCTACAAACTACATGCACAATTCGCATGTCGGGGGCATGCGTATCTAGAAATGTCAACATGCATCTCACCATAAAACATGTGTCAACACAATTAGAAAGGTGTTGACACTGATTAGAGCTAGGCATCACCATAAAACATGTGTAACACACAATTAGAAAGGTGTTGACACTGATTAGAGCTAGGCATGAATTTGGCCCAAGCGCAAACAGATGTATGAAGAGGCCTTGCTTAAATTACTAAGGCCCTTGCCTGGTTGTAAACCCCCTTTGTGACCCCAGAAAAGGGTTTAAAAATGATCCATTTTTTAAACTGGTTATTGAATCGGTTATAAATCCCTTTGCGACTCCCTTTTTAGCAAATGCCTCCAACTCTGATGAAAATAAGAAAACAAAAAGAAAGAAAACGGTACGTATATTTATGAATAAGTCCCCTCCTTAAGTGGCGTTGTGTGTCATCTTAAATCTCCCTATAAATTTTTAGCCAGGAATATAGCACATCTGAGATGCCTGTAGCTTTTCTTAAAGCCCCCAATTTATGATCATTTATATATTTTTTCAAAAATCACTATTGATCACACACCAAAGCTAAACAACCATGATTTTCCAGCATCTAGTCAAAAACCACAAACCTAAAAGCCGTTTCCTTTTCTGAAACTGGAATACAATACAACGTGCATATACGACCAGAACTGCATGCCACTAATTCCGGCAGCAAAGTTGTTGGACTGCTCGAGTCAAGCAAAACTGGGTTGACAGTACTCTCTCTCTCGCTCTCTCTCTCTCTCTCTCTCTCTCTCTCTTGGGGTACACAATACAGGATGAGAGTAGATATTGTATAGGTAATGCAGTTGACCTGCTAAATGTCATGTGCAGACCCAAAGATGTTTGCTCAATCTTTTTCATTAAAATACAAAAAGTATTTTTAGTCTTCTTTATGGGTGTAACAAAAGGTGTGATTAAAGTAAAATGCAACAATAGAGAAGAACTGGGGTGGCAATGAAATTTTTCAAATGGGTGACGGGAAGAAATATCAACTCACTGGGACGAAATGGAGGTTCATCATCCAGGATGATGTTGGAAGTAAGGATGCCTCAGAGCATCATCAACGCTCAAACGATCTTCCTGCAAATGATAAATTGGATCATATGAAAATACCAATCTCGCAATATCACATTGTTCTAAGTTCTGATGAAGTACTAAATGCATAGGAACTTTTTGCCAAAAGAAAACGAGTAACCGACTATTTTTATACACTACATAGAAAAACATTACATAGTTGTCACTACTGTATTAACATAATGCATGCTATAGAAAGATAATAGAATTAAAGAAATTGAATGGTTTAGTGACATGGATAATTCTGATTCATGCCTAGTACCACAATATTTTTCATTTTCATTACTTTGATGCTTACATGGTAAGAAAATTTGGGAGCTAACCAGAATCTCAGCTTTGTAAATATAGTGATGCATAAAATAATCCATGCTTATGTTTATGTGCCAAGAAATGCGACGAATGCTTAAGCTTGTCCTGTTTAATTTGCAAGGCACAACAAACTAAATCTGTAAAGGAAATTGAATGCATGATTTTGATGAACAAATGTTATCACGTAGTAAATCCCTACAAAACGAAAATTTAAGTAACATCAAATCACTCACGCCAAAGAACATCATAGATCAAGAAGTGGTCTTCAAATGGCCTGCTTGACTATAATTTATTAATAGATTGGCGAAATTGTAGCATTCAAAGTTGAATAATAACTTCTACGACATTTCCACTAGGCATAGCATATTGCATTTGTTATGTATGTTTTTCTAAGGGGTGCGGTTTGTATAGAGCCGAGGTTCTAAACAATCAGAGTAGAGCCCACCTTCAAATAGTGTCGAGAAATGTGATTTCGATACTGGAAAGACATCAAGAGCATCAAACACACACAAAGACAGACACACTTATCAATGCACAAATGCTGTATACAAATAAAGATACATATAGGTAGGGACATAAATACAGATAAACAGAGAAAACCCACACTACTTAAAAATCGAAAAGTGGGATACTTCAACAGTATGGAGAACCTACAGGGTGCCATAACAATAGTTGGCGAACCAATCGCAATGCCCAAATATTTGGAAACCTGGTAGATAATCAGAAACAACAAGAGAGTGACAGAATCAAAACAATACTTTTTTTTTGAAAATACAGAATAAAAACAATAGTTGATAAGAATGAAAGGAAAGATAAGCAAAAGCATTGGGAGAACATAGATATTAGAAGCCAACCCCAGTTTAAGAGGATCTCTATTCTTAATTTGATCTGAAAAAGCCGCCTCAGAGCATCTCCAAGAAGCTGGATGTGCATCATCCTAAATTCCAATCAAGATATCCAATACACAGTCAAAATATTTCTGAATCTAATAAGGGGGTGTTTGATGACTATGAAAAGGTGGGAAAATTCATGATTTTCCCACCTTTTTGATTGGACAGGTGAAAGCTGCCCAAAAAATTTACATGGGATTGCCCGTAATACCCCACAAGTGGGAAAGTCGGGAGACCACGAAGATAAGTGGTATGTGACTTTCCCTCTTGTGGGGCATGAGGGGGAAAGTCACCTCTCCCTCATTATGAGCATTAATGCTCATCTTTTTAAAGTGTAAAAAGTTAAAATTTCAAATTTTAAATTTTGTTTCTATTAAAAGCTTACAAATACACCCCCTTTCATATGTATTTTGAGTTATTTAATAGGATTGAGACCTCACACAGCCGGGGTCATCAATTTTGGATAGACCCTAGGGTGAGCCTTCCCTAACCTCTCTTCTAATTCCTACCCCCCATGCCTACCATCTTCCCTAAATGCTATCTCTTTTTCTTTCTAAGGCTCTCTTTTTCTCTATCCTCCAAGGGCCTCTCTCTCTCTCTTTGGTAGATACTTTCTCTAGGAGTACCTCTCTATAGACTCTTTCCCTATTAGACCCTATTATGATCAATTTACAATTTATTGAAACTGAAAGTTCCCCACATGAAACTGATTGCACAAATTTTCTAATCATGTCATCAAATAAGGGAAATTGACTGCTCCAATTTTCTAACTAGAATATCAAAATGGGGAAAGTGATTGCACCAACTTTCCTTATGTTTTGAGAAAATCCCAATTATTCTCAACAATTCTTGGTGAAATAGTAAAAAAGTTCTCAAATAGGGCCTAAGAGTTTTGCAGATTCCATTCAGGGGGTAATCTTTGGGCAACCCCATGCATTAAATAGCCACCCTTTTTCAAAACCGTAAGTAGGGCTAGCTAAAGCTATCAAACTTCTGTAAAAAACGAACTTGTAGACAAATCAAGATGCTGCGATTTGGACTCGTGGCCACCAATAGTATGTAGCTTTTCCATTTATGTCATATTTTTAATCTCATTAAATGAGATTGAATTTCAAACCCATAGTAAGACTACTGAAGAGAAGAAGAGGAAATGAAAAAGAGGCCAGTCAAGCAATTGTTACATGGTGTCCTTTCCAACTATTCTGCAGATTTTGAGGGGAAGTTCCAGGGACAAGGATGCACATTTCCATGAATGATCTCAATCTGCCAAAAGAAAAGAATCTTAATGAAAGTTATAACTTGATGTCAAAAGAGAAATAAAAAAAATTAAGATGCAACTGAAATAGATAGCAGCTCTTAAGGATTAGAACCTACTTATATGCAAGCTCTTTTGTTTCCTCATTCCATCCATTGAGCTGCTGATCGAGAAGAGCACGGGTTCGAGAACTTATTTGAAAAACATGGGGCGATCCTATGATCAGCTCTAACATCACAACCCCCACACTCCACATATCATACCTGCTCGAAAAATTTTATATGGTTATTCAGGCTTCTAAATTAGTAAACATAATAGAAAGTATTTTCTCACTCATCAACTACAATCGAAGTTCACACAAAACCTCGTGAATTTTCAATAAGGTAATTCTTTTTATATAATTTCCAGAAAGAAATTGACAGAAAATATGATAGGCCAAAGAAACCTTGGAAGCAGTTCAAAATAATTAAAGTATGCAGCTACAAGCAGAATCTCATGCAAAGTCTCAGTCCCAGACACACCTCAAAGCTATGTCTGTTGGTGCCCTGAACCAACTTGCGTTCAGAGTAGCTTCAGGTGGAGTGTACTCAACAGTCTGTTCAGACCTGCAACATCCAAAACACCAATTCAGGTATACCTCGTGTGTGTGTGTGTGTGTGAGAGAGAGAGAGAGAGAGAGAGAGAGAGAGAGAGAAACCTCACGTGTGTTTGCGTGTGTGAGAGAGAGAGTTGGTGAATTATCCCAAAAAGAAAAAAAGTGTTTACATGTGATTTCACAGGATTTGCCCAGATGAAAACAGAAACCCCAAGCAAATGACAGTTGTCGATACCTCATAGGGGTGCTTCATAAATATAGAATTTACAACATTGTACCTCGAAGGTCCATTTGTTCCATAGAGATGTTTGATCGTGAATCCATCAACAGCACTACCAAAGTCAATAATGCGCCTAAAAGCAGATGGAAAAAAAAAAAAATTATGCTGCAGAGTTTGGAAGTGGGAGAAATCAACCAAATTTAGGCACACACTATTATACATTATGTGCATTCTATGCATTGATTCAAAAAGCAGTCCACCCAGTGCCTAGGCGAGTAAGGGGGCCTGAGTATATCACCTAGGCCTGCACGGACCAACTAGGCGGGCTGTCCCTGGACCCCTGTTTAGGGACCCTAGGCGCCTGCCTAATACCCTGTCTAGGTGGGCACCCAAGGGACTGCACCCGTCTAGGTGCAGAAATACCCATCGAATGGAGTACTTTTCTTTTCTTTTTTTTTTTTTTTTGGATTAAAAAAATGCATATTCTTATGCATTTTTAATACAAAATCTAGACCTAAAACATAATTACTAGACACCCCTTGCCCCCTTTTGAAATCCTGGGAGGCCTAGACCACGCTGGCCACCAAACATTATTTGAAAAACTAATTCTATGGCATAGGTCTATTGTAACATATGTCTATTTGATCAATATGTCAGTGGGTCGGTACATATGTCAGTAGGTCTACTCTAACATATATCTTGTGACATACGTCAACAGTACATATGTCAGTAATTACCGAGGAAAAAGAGCAACAATTAACACAAAAGGGTAATCTAAATCATATTTATCCAATGGTTTTTTTATTGTAGACATTCAATAATAAATGAAAAACACCTAATGCATGGAAATATGGATAAGGATAATGAAAAATTACAATTTTAAGTGATATCGATGATCCCCAGTTGGAGTTCCCTCTAAACATCTCCCAGTATCATCATCTTCTAGGCATATGATCATATTCTCTTCAATAACATAAATATAATCAAATGCATGGAGTTAGCAAATACCATTAAAGATATGATAGTAGAATCAGAACAAGACAATTAAATCATCCTCTTTGCAAAGAAAGGACATCATATTATAAATCCTAAAATTGTTCTAATAATTACTGACATTAAATTCCCAAATGTTAAAAATATCAAATTCCTCAAGCTGAAGAAAAAAGCGATCATTCTAATATACTAGAATAAAATAATAGAATACTTCAAGTAACACTCCCAGGAGAATAGTAGGATCATTTTTAAATCCATTTATTCAAAATCAAATATGACAACAGCTAAATTATTTAACATATGCATGACAACCAAGTCAATGGATAAGGCTAAATTATGCAAGTGTCCTTTAGCCTAGATTCCTAGAATCACACTTTATATTCTGCATAATTGTGAATGACACTAGGGGTATAAAGATTGCCTTGAGAGTCAGTCGGCATGGACCTAAGCAAGGCCCTTTAACCATCAAATCCAACCCCAAAACCAAACTCCCATTGAACAATTCACGACCCATAACCAAATTTCCATAGTACAGTTAAAAATTAGAAGTTGACTGATCTAATTGTTCCCTTGAGACCAGCTTGCCATACACCATGCCTAGTACCCACTCATTTTCGGATGGCAGAGTTTTCAATTTGTTTCGTGTTTATTTTGATCATTTTTATTATATCAGAAATTTCCTAAATGCACTAGAGAGATTAAAAATATCTTAAGGACAATCCCTAAAGAAAGACAGGTTAACAGGGAAGACTTATACAACAACTCTGGATATCAAACACCGCTGTATTAGTCCATTACAATTTACTTATGTATTTGTTGTTAGTTTTGTTCTCCATAGTTGGTAGTACTTTTCTATCAACCACAAATACCACCTGCAGGATGAACCTAATGCAAGGAAATCCATACCATCTTCTTTATAAACCTTACCAATTTACTCCAATTCACATAGCATACAGGCAACAATTCATGTGGTGCTATGACAAACATATGTCTGCACACGTCTGCTTCTGCATGTCTATAAAGAGAGCATTATGTGGTGAGGCTATGACTACACCCAGAAGGGTGTAGCCACACCAATCTGCACTGTACATCCGAATAAGACACAAAAAGTTATTTTTTGGATGCTACAATAGGGAATCTTGATAGCTTTCACATCCAGGGTTTAAAAAGTAACTTCCACACAGTCCCTTTGAATGGACAGTGATCTGTAAGGCTACAGACTTTCAGCCGCAGCTGCGGAGTCACCAAAACATTTTCTGATATATGTAAGAAACATATAAGTAATAAAATGTGCAGATGAGATTATTGCCCCATTGAAGCCAGATGGTTCAGAAACAAAGACAAATCACAATAGACAAGGGAGACAAATTGTGATAAGATTAGCATGAAAGCCTACATACAAAAAACGCAAAGTTGATTACAATAACATTCTCACCTGGTTTTATATCCCTATGGATGATGGTGCGATCATGACATGATTTGAGGGCCAGCAACTAAAACCAAAGGGAACAAAAATGGAACACCCCAATTAAAATATGCATTAGCTAACGCATTATGCAAGAAATATTTAATACTTTAAATGAACTTTAAAGAAAACTAGCACTATAAATGAAACATCAAGATGACGAGAAACTACATAGAACATAAAACAACCCAAAATATAAACATTTGATGGCCCAAACCCAGAAAGAAATGCATCATAATATCATCTTTGGCAATTTTGATGCGTTCCATATGTGTGATTCCTGGGATGGTTAAGTAACCACTGACACTTCAGATTATATGCTGACACTTAACCTCTTCAATGTGTTTCTCAAGCATGGCTTGAAAAATTTAGTGGCTAAACAAAGATGTTGCTGTTGCTTTGACACAAGCATAGACTGACAGATCGACCAACCTGCAACACTCAACAGGTGATTTATATTGCACGGGCATTGAGGCTTGCATCTTCATGAAAACATCTAGGAGAAGATCGGGGTTTGCCTCGTGCAATGAAAAAGGTAGCAGAGAAAAACCTTAGGATATAAGCCCTAGATTTTGAGGAACATTAAGGCCTTTGTAAACCATGGGATGTAAGGCCCTAGGGTTTTGGGTACTAAAAAGGCCTCTTGTAGGAGAAATCCTCTTACCAGCACGTTTTACAAAGAGAAACTCTGAGAATTGAAAGGATAAGAAACCACAGCTGAATTATGAGTATGAAGGCTAAGGTTTTCGGCAGCGATGGAAAACATGAAGGGGGGATGAACAAATCTAGAGAGAGAATTTCTGGAGAGATACTATGTGAAACAAAGATATAGAAGAATCCGAACCCTAGATTATCAGAGAGTTGATAAGCTAGAAAATAAATTGCACAAAGCATTTCTCGTAAGGGAAGCACAAAGAACCTAGAAATGGAGAAACTGCAGCGATAGATGAGAAACCCTAAGCAGAAAAGGAGAAAAAAAAGACAACATGTTTCTCAAGCATGGCTCTATAATCTTCTAATTTTTCTGAAACAGATCAAAAAGCCGGCCTCCTGGGTGGCCCACCTAGGCGTCTAGGAGGCCTCACCGCCCCACACTGGGCCTATGGGGCGACGACTACTCACCCAAGGCACCACCCTGGTGAGGGTAGAAATTTCCCTCGCCAGAAAGGCAAAAAACGTAATCCCTTCCCAACACCACCATGCCTCCCCCCCCCTCCGGGGGCTCTTTTTTATAAGGGGCGAAATAATATTTAGGGCCACTTTGGGTCCCCAAAACTCCAGAGAACTCTATTTGTGCAACAAAAAGAACTTTCCTAGCTCAAAATCAATTTTTTTTAAGGATAAAATCTGATATTGAAGTTTTGGATTTCTTGCGAAATCAAAAGGCATTCAACCAAGAATTTTTTAGGGATTGAAGTGGTTAGAAAAGTGAGCTTTTGACAACCGAAAGTGACCGATTCAAGCCTGCTTCAATGGATTTTCGAAAGGTTAGTAAAATCAGTTCTTTAAGTTTAGGGTTTCATTTTTTTTTTTTAACTATTGGGTTATGTTATTCTTTTTTATTCTCTTGCATTTATTTTTGAACTTCGACTTTACATTTATGATGAAACTTCATGAGTGTTATTTTTCAAGGATTTGCTATTTTTGTGACTATAATATATTTTTGGAAACATTTCTAATTTATAATGCAAATTAAAAAAAAAATTCATTCTTTTGCATTTATTTTTGAACTTTGACTTCACATTTATGATGAAACTTCATAAGTGCTCTTTTGCAAGGATTTTCTATTTTTGTAACTATAATATATTTTTGGAAACATTTCTAATTTACAATGCAAATTTGAAAATTTATTTAGAACGCAAATATGAGAATATTATTCTATGTTTCTAATTTTTAATGCAAACTTGAAATTCTATTGTATATTTTTGGCTATGTTTCAAATTTACAATGCAAATTTGAAAAATAGTACTATGTTTGGCTATATTTATAATTTATAGGGAAAATATCTCCATACCCCCTATTTTTTGGTTTCATTTCTCAATAGACCTAAGGTTTCAAAACATATCTTGAGGCATGGAGATCTCATGTATTATATCTTCTAACCCCCTGAACCAACTTTACCCATTTTGACCTTATTTTTTTAGCCCAAAAAAATCTTAAAAAAATATTCCCTTTGTAAACCCCATCTTCTCTCTTCTCACTTGATTCTCCCAAAACTCCTCTCGCTGTACTTCCCCCAACACTCTCTCTCTCTTTCTCCATATTTCCCCCAACTCTCTCTCTTTCTCCGTATTTCCCCCAACTCTCTCTCTCTCTTTCTCCGTTTTTCCCCCAACTCTCTCTCTCCACAATGCTGCTGAATTTTCATTATCGCTATGAAGATTTTATCTCATCCGCTGAAGAACGATGAAAAGCAAAACCACACTGCAGAAAGCCAAAATGGCCACTACATTCTTGAACAAGACGACCTAGAAGACCCAGCCCATGGTTTCAGCTTGCAAGGCAATCCTTCACCTAGCCATGGAGTCCAACCATTGGGCAATCTTCTCTTAAATGCTTGTTCCTCCGACTCAAGAAACACCGGCTTGGAAACACTCTATGTTCTCACTGAGGCGTCTACGCTCTTGGAGAGAGAGAGAGAGAAACAGAGAGAGAGAGAGAGACAGAAACATGGGGAGAGAGAGAGTATACAAAGAGAGAGTGAGTTGGGGAAATACGAAGAGTGAGAGTTCAAAAAATACGAAGAGAGAGAGTTGGGGGAATATGAAGAGAGAGAGTGAGTTGGGGAAATACAGAGAGAATGAGAAGAAGTTTTGGGAGAATCACATGAGGAGAGAGAGGATGGGGTTTACAAAAGGCATGTCTTTTTCAGATTTGTTTGGACTAAAAAAATAAGGTCAAAATAGGTAAAGTTGGTCCAGAGGATTAGAAGATATAATATATGGGATCTCTATACCCTAAGATATATTTTGAAACCTTGGGTTTATTGAGAAATGAAACCTAAAAATAAGGGGTACAAAGATATTCTCCCGAATTTATAATGCAAAATTGGAAATTTCCAATATATTTTTGGCAATATCTATCTTTGTTTCTAATTTATGATGCAGGTATGAAAATATTACTTTGTTTTCTATTAATAATGCAAATTTGAAATTTTATAACACAACTTTAATCATGTTTCTAATTTGTAATGCAAATTTAGCAATTATGATTTTTTTTTGTCATTTTATTGAGTTTTTTATACTTTCGAGTTATCTTGAGTCTTGACATTTGAGTAGATCACAAATTCACATTGTCTTCTTTTGCTTCTACTGGGAAACAAGTTGATCCGGGAAGGTATGAAAATATTACTTTGTTTTCTATTAATAATGCAAATTTGAAAATTTATAACATAACTTTTACCATGTTTCTAATTTGTAATGCAAATTTAGCAATTATGATTTTTTTTTGTCATTTTATTGAGTTTTTTATACTTTCAAGTTATCTTGAGTCTTGACATTTGAGTAGATCACAAATTCACATTGTCTTCTTTTGCTTCTACTGGGAAACAAGTTGATCCGGGAAGGACGCATGGGACATGCCCAAATCTATCAGACAAGCAAAAGATCCAATGCAATTATCGTAAGAGAGTCCAATCATGTGGAATTAATAGATTTAAGAAGCATTTGGCTTAGTTAAAAGAGGATGTTGCACCTTGCACTCAAGTACCATCAGAGGTTAGAAATGAGATGTTGGGGCTTCTTGAAGGATTTAAAAAGAAAGCAAAGGGTTAAAAAAATGGATCAGGTCAAAAGAACAATAGATATTTGGGATCAAGGAGAAAAGGAAGCGGAATATGAAAGTAGGGCTAGACTAGTGATGGAAGTGGAGATTGAGCTGCAGGGCCCAAGGATTCTTTCTTTGCCCCCCTTTTGTCGGATCCTACAGTTGTGACTGAAGGAAAGGGCCAAAGAACCATTGAAAGCCACATAAAAAGGAAGGAAAGAAAGAGATCAATATGGGGCTACTTGGATTTTTCAAGCAGACATCTCTTTCAATGCCAACACCTTGAAGACCTTCAAAGCCATGACTGAAGCAGTGGGTCAATTTGAGCCACGATTAATGCTTCCTACTCAATACGAGCTCAAGGGCCCTCTACTTCAAAAAGAGGTAGAATTGACTAATGAGTATTTCAAGACTCATGGGGAAGTATGGGATCGATTTGGGTTACCATAATGACCAATGCATTGACTAACCAGAGGGGTCATGAATTTGATGGTAAAATTGTCCCTTGGGGATAATGTTTTTAGGTCAATTGATGCATCTGATAAGGCACGTGATATTGAATTCATTTTGAAATTGGTTGAAAAATGCATAGTGGATGTGGTGGAGCCTCATGGAGTTCAAGTGGTTACTGACACAGCTCCCTATAATATGGCAGCTGGTAGGCAGCAAAAGAAAAAGAAGCTACAGATATTTTGGACCCATGCATGGCACATTGCATCGAGGTCATGCCTGAGGCCATTGACTAGAAGGCAGTGGCAGAGTCAGCTATGAATAAGACCCGGATGGTCATAGATTTCATTCAAAACTACATGCGTCTTGGCCTAAATGAGGGTGTTTTGTAAGAATGAGTTGGTAAGACCTGGTTGACTAGATTTGCCACCTCTTATTTGTGTTTAAAGCCTCTTCAGGTCCAAAGAGAACTTAAGAAAAATGTTTCTTTCTGATGAGTGGAACCAAATAAAATGGTCTACCGAAGAAAGTATCAAAAATATCAAACTCTCTTTTTGGTGTGTATGTGTTTCAAAAATCATAATATTGAAAATATCAAATCTCTTTTTGGTGTGTGTATATATTTCTAAAATCACAATGACTTAATAAATTAGAATTTAAATAAAATTATCATCTCAAAAAGTTAGAAATTAGATTAGAATAGGAAATTGGCATATCAAAAGTACTAAAATTGCTCTCATGTCCAGATTAGCTACATCAAATTTAGTATGGGTACAACCATCTGTTGCAAGTGCTTAGCACTATGGTTGGACTGGGTCCAGTTGGCAGCTGGCCTGGCCCTAAAAAAACGGCCTACATCACAAATGTGGCCTTAGGGCCAAGCCGGGCCTAGGCCAGGTCCGCAACAGGCCAGCCCAGCTTGGCCAGCAAAGCACCTCCTAAGCTACAACTACTGAAGCTACGAAACCCTAGCTAATCATAGCTACCTAGACTTCCTTAAGCTACCTAGAGCCCCTTGCTAATCATAGCTGCCTAGACTTCCTTTAACTACCTATATCCCCTAGCTAACGTAGCTACCTAGAGCTATCAAAACTACAAACAGATATTGGTCTTCGGACCAATATCTAGATACTCGAGCTACCTAGACTTCCTTTTGCTACCTAGAGCTACCTATATCTCCTTTAGCTACCTATAGCTAGAGGAACTAGATAGCTCAATAGTAAGAGTGCACATATAGAGCTACCCCTACTAAAGGAACCTATAGCTACTTGCCTACCCATACATTTACTATAGACACCCTCTTCTATGAAAGCGCAACAGCTAAGCGCTTGGTACTAAGTGGTTGGTTGGGTTGCCTAAGAAGCGAAGCAAGCTCATAAGCTTCTTTTCCTACTTATTAGCTAAGCTTGGATTTTTTTTTCTTATTGCTTTTTTATTTACTTATACTGTATTTGTCCAGCCCTTATAGGGTAGGCCCAGGCCTGGGTCGGGGCATCTTCAGCCTTGCTAGGGCCAGGGACAGCCCAGCCCAGGCCTGGCTAAAACAAAAAGTAATCAACTATGGAATAAATGTGTCTCAATAAAGAAGCCAAAATTAACTTATCAGCCTTGAGAGTTTTCCTTTGTCTTATAGCAAGATCAGTAAAATCAAACTTACCAGCCTTGAGAGTTTTCCTTTGTCATATAGCAAGATCAGTGCCGAGTAAACACAACAACCATGAGAATACCATCCGTAAGCACTGAACTTGGGATACTACATTTTTAAAACCTAACCAAAGGTTCAATGAACTTACGAGAAATCTGTTTAACTAAAAATTTAAACACTTTCAGTCCTGTTACTGCATAGGGGATAATAGATATTCAAATAAGCTAACAACAATAGATAAACTCCTCAATCCCTAAACCCCAAACAATTTCCTTCATGCTCTCTCCAACACACATATTATTGCATATATGCAACCATGCTTGCACATAACAACACCACAAAGGCACATAATTCAGCAGTTCACATTCTTGTCAGAAGAATTAATAGTCATTCAATTCAGAAGGGCAAGAGAGACTTAAAATCCATTGACCAACTAAATGCAGACATACCAACTGCCATATGATGTTGCGCATCTGCTCTTTTCCTGCTACTGTCTTCCTTAGCCAATACCACCAAGAAGATGGATGCAAGACCTGGATGTTTTCCCTGTGAACACTTTGATTATCCGTACTGTTTTCAATTTCTACTGCAGTGTATATCAATTTTGACAACGAGCGCCCTTCGTTCCGAAATACAAGCCAAATTTCTTTGGACTGAGACTCAAATGACTCAATATATCTCGCCACGTGCATCAATCCTTCCTCATAATCAGCACCCCACACTTGCATGTTGCCAAGAAATGTTTCTGTAAGATTCCAGGGATATCCCATATCAACTCGTACTGATCTGTTCAGTGATGATGACTGATTTGATTCAACTTCTGCTACCTCTGCAGAAGAATTTGACAGGACTGTTGGGGATGAGCCTCTTAGAAACGCAGAAGCATTCAAGAAAACTTCTCCAAAATGTTTCTCACGCAGGCCACTTAAGTAAGCACTATTGCCTCTTTCCACCTATTAAAATAGATTAACACATTTCCAAATCAACAATATATAATGAAATCCAGGAAAAAATGCTTAACATGGATACGAGATGACCAAGAAGAATATTTGTTAACAAATTAGATTTTAAATTCTAACCATTATGAAAATTATATTCAAGAGATTATATATATAGGGTTATTCTAGAATAAACTATACTAATGGTGAACTTAGAATTTCCTACTCCAAAACTTTTCACCATAAAAAGCCCCTATATATTCAAAAATGGCGTTCGACCATAAATAGTTTTTTCATTTTAGGAAAGGGTATTTTCATCTTTTTAAAATCCCTCCAAAACTCAATTTCAAAATAAAAAGATTCTATTGACTTTCATTATCAAAAAAAAAAAAAGATTCTATTGACGTTTTTGAGTAATGACGGGACTTTAAAAGCAACTTAAATTTACAAACATGCCCTTTTCGAAATTTTCAACCAATCTATCGTTCATATAATTTTAATACTAGTTGAGGCATTTTGTTGTCAAAAATTTAGCATGCAACTAACACAAAAAGATTAAACATGTATGTTATTTCTGAAATGGCCATGAAACAAAAGCATATAACTGGACAAATGAAAAATGGCACACTGGGGGCTTCATGGTGACGGCTTGAACCCCAGCACGAAATAAAGGACCCAGTGGTGCAGCAGCCCCAGACCACATGGTAGGATTCCCCAAGCCTGAGAAAAGGCACTCAAAGTAAAGTTCCTCAATCCTTTGAAGTCTTCGAGAACAGAGACTACATTTGATTTCTAGTTTCAACTGGAGTTAGTGAAAAGGAATACAGTACAATAGTCTTGGAGGGGCCACTCAAGGACAATATGCCTGCAACTTACCAAAAATTATAATTTTGATCTATAATTGCATAGTTTTCTAAGTGTATGTGTACCACAATATTTACAAGTTCTGATCAGTTCTGGTGTCACATACTATTAGTACTAACAGCGAAAGATGTAATAGCATGAAAATAAGAGATATCAGAAATGCCATTCTTAAATGCCAACAATCTTACCATTATTCGCTTCAAAATAAATGAATCTCCCAAGCTAGAATCAGAGGGATTAGGACAAGTGGAGTTTTTTCTCATATTAAGGTCATACTCATAAAGATTGTGAAGTGGAGGGATACATGAAGAAAACTTTGCGTCAACCGGCTTCGTGTTTTGTGCAAAATTGAAACGACCTGCACCAAGTGAACAATTCCAGTGAAATGCCAACCAAACTTCACCATATGATCCACGGTCAAATCTTCTCTTAAGAATGTACCTGAAAAGACATCAAAGCACCAAATATTTAGAACATGCACTAGTAAAATTCAAAATACGTTAAACCAAGGCTTCTCTAAGGAGTAGCTTCTAGAAGTCAACAGTATCTGCAGACTAGCCAGCTTGAACAGTCCTTTCTAGACAATGAAACAGGTGTAGGACCAAGACAGTATGAAAGCATAATATGAGAAGCAACATTACCAATATTACAATACATGAAGTAGGGAAGGGACACGTTAAGGCCCCGATCTTGGGTCAGGTCTAACAGACTCGGCCGAGTCAGTCAGAAACTCAGCTGAGTCCAACCAAATGAATATAAAATAATGGGAATCAGCCAAACTTCGCCAGGTCCAAGTGGACTCACCCGAGTTTTCCAACTCTGAACATTACTCTAGTTATTAAATATCATAACAATGTCTACTGTATCTCAACTATCAACACAGTAAAAATGAAAAGAAGTCTTGACTGGACGCTTATCAACAAGACCAATTTTCTTGCAAGTACAAAACTGAACATGTTGCATTATGGGAAGCGCTTATGATCAATGTAGTGCAAGAAACAATAAAAAGATATTTGTAACCGAAGTTTAACTTCAAAAAACCCATGATGATTGATGATGAAACTACCTAAAATTTGAGGAGCCGTATACATATGACTCGGAGGCATTGATATTGATCTCATTAAATGGAACCGATCTGATTAAGCCAAGAACCCTTGCAAACCCTTCTGGATTAATGCATTGTCCCTTCTCTCCTTCAAACTCCATCCCCAAGTTCAAGCATAAATAATGGCCATTGTATAGATCCAAAGGCCAATCACCTTATGTGAGAAAACAAATATATGTTTAGCCTGTCATCGATGGACAAAGAAAACACAAAAGTGCAGAAAGCCAACAAATTCTACCCATTCAGTGAAGAACCTCTACCTCATCAATACATAAAGATTGGTAACTGTTTCAAAAGAGAGCTATTTTCAACGTCATAATCATAAGAAATCACTACATTTCTCACTAAATTTCCTGGAAGAAGTAAACTAACAACCAATATGCATTAAAATTGCTATATTCTCGAAGACAATATCATGATATTAAGTTAGTTATTAATAACAGCAATTGTAACTGACACACATGTATTGATATTTCCATGTCTTTCCACCTAGTAAATCTATACACAATTTGATCTCCAATGAACAAGGTCAAAAATCATTTAGAACTCACAACCAATGGAATTGCATTCTAGTAACAATAGAAGCAGAAACAAGGAAGTAGTTATGATTGATGGATGAAAAATAACTAAAAGAGAGTATTTTCAATATCTTGGGTCAATAATCCAAGAAAATGGAGAGATTGAAGAAGATGTTGCACATAGAATTAGAGCTGGGTGGGGCGAAATGGAGATGTCCAACCAGAGTTTTATATGATCATCACATACCAATGAAGCTAAAGGGAAGTTCTATAGGACAGTTGTGAGATTAGCTTTGCTTTATGGGATGGAATGTTGGGCAGTCAAGAAATAATACACCCATAGGATAAGTATAGCAGAGATAGGACTGTTGAGATGGATGAGTGGCAAAACAATAAAAGGTAGAATTAAGAATGAATATATTTGGGGGAACTTGCTCCAATAGGCGACACGATGAGGGAAATTAGACTTAGGTGAGCCGACCATGTGCAACACACACCCAATGCAACATCAGTTAAGAAGTGTGATTTGGTTCAAGTGGAAAGCTCTAAAAGGGCAAGAGGAAAGCCCAAAAGGAATGGATGGAAGTAATCAGAAAAGATATGAGGACGTATGGTCTTTCTGAGGATATGGCAATTGATAGAGCAGAATGGCGGAATATGATTCATGTAGCCGATACCAAAAAGTTGGGATAAGACTCTAATGATGATGATGAATCAATGGAGTTACATTTTGATAATGAAAAAAAATTATTTAAAACTTCACCAAAAGACTACAAGAATAATCTTGGAGTACATATGAACAAAAAAGCTATTTAAGGAAGCAAAGGTCCCAAAATCCTAAAACACCCCCATAAATCCACCAAATTTGCTGACCGAACAGCCACCAAGTTTGCCTTTTGGAAAGATGACAGACATTCAATATGCATATGCCCTGCATGACATCTTGCACGTCTGAGAAAAGACCACTTAAGCTCCTAGGAACTACAACATTTCCTCTTGTCCATTTGATAACATTTACAGAACCTGTGTCATAAAGATAGGTCCCAATGGAAAGTTCCTCGATAATCTTCACCAATTTTGGCAACATTCTCTTCAGCCCATTCTTCAAGCTCCTAAACACCTATAAATAATCAGTGCAGAAGCACACAAACTCCAAGGGAAAATGCTCATAGTTTCAGATATTAAGTCATTTGAACTATGTTTCCACTATTATTGCTCACATGGTTATCACGATCTCCCAACTTGGTGACGATCCCACATTCCCGGAGCTGGACCTTGGGCGGATACTGCTCCCATATATAGGGAAACATGATCCCAATCCTTTAGGGATCAGTCCATATAGATCACACTAATGTTACATTGATTTTTTACAATACAACAAGTCTTAAATGCACTTCGATTAAAGAAAGAAAGTAAATATGCTGCAAAATCATGTTACATATACTTTTCAAAAAGAAAAGAGAAGCTTTTACCAGATAGATATTGGACCTTTAGAATTTATCATGCGACACCAGAAAGCTGGAATCTAGCTTCCCAACATGTTGGGATTCAGATCCCTAAAATTCAAGGTGTACAGACAACAATCCTGACCATAGGGAGCTTTAAGCCTATCATGATCCAAGCTTCTGATCCCGCTCCAATCCCAACAACTATGACAGCATAATTTTTCTCATAAAGCACTATATCAAATGACAAAATTCCCATATTTGACTGGAATTCATACCAAGAAAAGCAAACAAAGATTTACTAAGTAGTTAGAAGAATATGCAGGGTGACATCATAATAGCAAGAATTAATGTAATTCACTGAAATAATAAAGTGCCCCAATAGAAATTAAAGAGTTCTACTTACTTTGTTGTTGTTCTATGACTTCAGGTAAAGCATACAGTGAATCATATGTTGTGTGATGCTCATTTTCTTTTAACGAGCCAAACATGTAATCCTTGTTGTCATTGAGATTCTCAAATAAATGAAAACAGCGTATTGTATCATGAGTAGCTTTTACCTGCATTAGCCAATAAGTTTCTTAACACCGCAAACCAACAAAGGACGTGCACGACATTTTGGGAAGATGGTTAGAAAACATGTGGCCATTCAGTTACAATTAGAAGATATCCTAGCCAGAAATTAGACTACGAATAAATACAAGGCTGTAAAAGCATCTAGCAAACTTAATCATCCAGAAAAAAAATATTATCGTGCAACAAAGATAATCAAATTACAAGATAGTAGCACCATTTCCACAAGAAATCAAGTTGACATGATCAAAAGAGATTCCAAGGCAACATTAATTCCTTCAGTCTGTGAGAAGATATCAAAATGTCATCAAACAAAAAATACAAAATTATAAATAACTATGCCTGTAAAAGTGACCTAAACTTAGCTATAAGCAACGTAGTCAACATATGACCCATGATTCACCAGCTTTATTCAAGGATTACCATGCAAGCAAGTCAAGTATTACATTATTTTGGTGCAAAACCTCGTACATTTGATAACAACAAAACACTCCTGGAGATGGATAACCCAACTAAGGACAACAAATCTTGTGATGAACAATCTATATTTCTCCTCTTGGTCGCAGATAATGTGCTACCCCTACTTCTAATCACATGCTCAGTTATTTTTAATCATTAACAATCAATTGAATTTCATTTATTGCTTAGAAGTACTAATTAAATTATAACTAGCATACAACCCATGCCATGCATGAGCAGAGAATGTAATTCCCTTTTTCTTTTAGATTCCTCATTTCCTTTTCTTTAGATTCTCTCTACACTTTTTGCGACAATGTTTTCAAAACCCAAATTGATTTTGGATTGCCCACCACTATTCTGGTCTAGATCAGCCATATTAGTGATCTGGATCGGATGAAACAATCAAGATTGGAAAAAAAATTAATAAGAAAATTAATATAGGGTGATTCAGGGTGGGGGAGACCCAGACCACCCACCCGCCAAATCCGATCCAGATTAGGGGTTCCTATCTGGATCACTGGGCTTTAAAACCTTATATTGAGCCAATATTTTCAATTTTATTATTTGTTGATAATTTGAGTTATTGAGTTTTACAAACAGCTAATAGAGATGTGCCAAAGGTTTTATGCTAGCTGCCAACCAAACACAGCCCTCCTCCTTTCTCATCCGGGCTTAGAACTGGCAATGGTGGAGTTAATAACTATTCTATGAATCGATTTTCTTTTTACTATGATTTTCTTGAAACGAAGTGTGTTCTTCCAAAAAGCCCCTGATAGCTTCTATACATTACTGAGAATACCTCAAAGCTAAGGTTATTTTTGTCAACAAAATCTAACGTGTTATTTGGAACCAAAGTAGGGTGCTAATGCATATGAGCATAGGTAGTTTAATGAAATCTGACAAATGACCACAATCCAAACACATATATTATATAAAGTATGAGACTTTATATTGCAACTTCTGAATTATTTAATTACAGATTGAATCTCAAATTCAATTTATTTCATTATTTCTAATATTATTTTCCAATTCTCCCTGTTCTATAATTGCCTATTTTTCAAACAGCCATACGCATTTCAGAAAAGCAAATGCATACTATGTTTCACATGACCACATGAAATGTGATACTTACAGTTATTACCAACCAATTGTCATTACCAATCAATCCATTCAATGGGACAGTGATGGAGGGAACCAAACATGATATGACTTTCCCTTTTAAGTCCCACTCTCTCTCCACTGTCCAACCCATTTATTGGATGGTGAAGACTTTGTCATAAACACATTTCATGTAGTCTCATGGACCACTGTACTCTTTCCCCTTAAAATATTTTGATTCTTACGTCTCAACTATGTTAAAAAATTTCCGTGCATCCAATCAGGTTTGAAACCTTGATCAACAATTTACAACAAGACCAAGGTAACGCAGGCTGATATGACAAGCTTCAATCCACAATCCTTGCGGCACAAAGCATGTTAACAACACTGTCCGTGGGGGTAATAATGCCCCCAGAAGAGGCCTTTTAGTTCATATTAAGAGAACTAAAATAGTCAAGACAGTATTAGGCACCCAGGCCAAACCATTCTATCAAAGAAATATCAAAGGAAAATATCTACCCATTTACTACAATAAAAGAAAAAAGATTTATAAAAGTGTATAGCAGCAATTTATCCATTTTGACATTTAGCTATAATGCTAATCAAAAGGGAATGGAACAGCATTGTCGGGAAATAACATGTACTTCCTTACCAATATTTGGGTAAAATCTGCCAGAATGCGATTCATGAATTCCACTGGAATAAGGCCAGAAGTCGTGCCATCATTAGCTGCCAATGAAACGAAAGCACCAACCCACATCAGAAATACATAACTAATTTATGTATCATGCTTACTAAATGATATCCTTGTTTCATTATATGGTCCATGTTTGACTACAAAAATACAATATCAGCTGGCAGCCTCATTAGGATATCATTATATGGTAAGTGTTTGACTACAAAAATACAATTTCAGCTAGCAGCCTCGTTGGAAACTCATGTCAGGGAAGCACTCCTGCTCCAAATATTGACACCACATCAGAGTTTTCCATGTCCTTCCTAGTAGAAGCTTACTATCTCCCTAGTCTCCACTCATACACCCAAACTTATTCACTAGATATTCCTGGTAACTAAGATTTAGGCTCACCATGCCAAGTAACATGTTAACAAATGCTAAGAAAGGAAAGTGTTACCTGATCCACTATAACTTAACTTCTCAATCTTGTTAGACATCACATGTGCATTTTCTACTTGATCATATCTTGCCTTCATTCGGTCTACAGAGGTATCCTGAGATTCAAGAGGAACTACAACGGCAGCCAAGTTATCCATGCTACCCTGCTCAAAAGCACTGTTTACCAGACATTCAGCCAATGGAATGTTTTCTGTAGAAATTGTGCCTTCTTTCATCTTGCTTTGCATGCCAAAGTCCCATAATAAATCACATATATCTTGGGTGGTTAATTTGTCAAAGATTCCGTCAGTTGCAGCTACAAGGTAGCTATCATTGTTTGATAAAGGTTGCCAATCTGTCACCTCAGGTGCTGATATAACACCATACCTGACAAATAAGTATGAAGCACCATGTGAGAAGAACACAGAAATAGTTCCTGGCAGCCCCGTGCTGCGGTTTTGGAAAACAAGGTAATGCCTGCTAAAATTTAATAAAACAGAGTAGATCTTCAGATGATCAGAGATACTGAATTTTTATTTTCAAGGTAATTTAGCACATACGATAGCCACATATATAAGCATTACCTATCATAGATTCTTGCCCTCAGCTGCAGTGGTTCTCACCCATTGACTAGCCAAATTGTGTACCACATGTTCAATTTTGCAAACCTAACTCCTACCCCATGTCAATAGGCCAAAAAAATAAGGGATTTTAAAACACAGATTCTCGAAAAAAAAATAAGAGAAAAAATGGCAGGTCGAAAGGGGTAACCCTAGAACAGGCACCCACATAGAAACTAGACATCATCGCATCGAGAACAAGTTTGTATCCCAGACTCAAATGAGGCTTGATCTAACTAGTCCATCCATGTGGCGTCCCATTGTAGGCAAAATGCACTAACCTGTTCACCCAACTTTAGAAACCCAATTTACCTTAAGTTGCATAATTGCGTTTAATGTTATTATAATAAACCTACTTGACAGTACCAAACTCAACCTATGAATTTTAGATTAAATTAATTCAAAAAAAAAGAATCTTACAATAAACTATGAATTGCAAGTAAAATAAAGGCATAGATATCTGTTCATCAAATTCAGATATCTCTACAGGTTGCCAAAGCATTTTTATTTATTGTATGCAAGGCCATAAGATGAAGCACTGAAGAGATACTAAGAACATCAAAAAGCAGAACACCTAAGTTCGCATTGAGAAAATGGATGACATAAATGGTTCAATGTGCTAAGCACTTCCCATGACATAACATCTAAAAGAAGCAAGGTATTTGATTCTTTATAAACATCATGACTTACTTTTTAAGTGAAACATCACCTATGGCTCGAGACACTGCTAGCTCTCCATTAACTCGAGGCACACCACCCCATTCTTCAACAAAACCACCAGCTGCTTCTATACGCATCCTTTCATCATTTCTATCAGGGTGATGGTCTTCGGTAAGTTCCTTTACACATAAACGCCTCGGGCTAACATTGGCATCTAACTTCAAATTCCCATGGCCTCTCATAAGCGACAAAGCCCGCCTTCTACGCCTGTAAGCCTTGGAAAATGTGCCTGTGAAAAATTAATATTTCAGGAGATCTTGAATTAAATGTTACTAGACTTGAATGTTCAAGTACTACTAGATTTATTTCAGAGTTACAGGATTCACACATAAGCCATATCAATTCTCATTTCCAATCACCATGAGAAAACAAACAAATTAGTTCTTGACATAGAAAGATAAATAACTGCAAATTCTGTGAATACAACCTTGCAATCAGTATTGTGCAAATCTACAAATGAAATACGGATAAAAATCTGAAGCTAAACAGCTAAACAAATACAAAAAGAACCTTCAATCTCTTGTGAGACATCAAAACATTCTGAGCATAGAAGAGCTTTTGAGTCTCCAACATTAGCAACTAAAACATGGCCTTCGGCTTTAAGAACAATAGTGGCCGTAGAGCCAGAATCTAAATTATGTCGGAAAGCATCCTGCACAACAATACAAGGAAAAAAGTCAAGATAGAAAAAGGAGAATCCATTTCTAGAGGGCAAAAGACATATAACAAAAAGGAAAATGATAGCACGCTCTGGCGGAATGCACACCATTATGTTCCGCCCAATATATCCACCATCTAAATATCATTGATAGTTCAGATTGGGGCTCGCGTGTCCACCACTTCGAAACCGATACTTTGACTGTGCCAATTTTTTTTTTTGCCGGGGGGGGCAAGATGCCCAAGTCTTTGCAAGACCAGATTATCCTCCAAGTCTCTCAGATGAGTTTTCATCTCTCTGTCTCTCCTCTCCCTTACTTTGCAATACTTGGAATCGGCTCCTCTTCTCTTGCCTCCCTATCTCAATTTTCTCTGTCTGCATCATATAATATCAGCTCCCCCCCCCCTCTAAAGCGCAGGGTAAAAGGTACACAAGGCCATCCTCAGAAAGAAACCGTTCTCCCACCCCTCCTCTAACATGCAGCAGAGTAAAGTGCAAGCAGACACACATCACGGTGTAAAGTGAACAGATCTCTCCCTATCTCTCTATTCTCTCTATGGAACATACAAAATGAGCTCCTACTTCTCACCATACACCTACCAGAGGATAACTACCCCCACCCCCCCCGTTGCAGTCTCTCTCTTTCTCTCACTGCAAAATAACCATTGTCCATAAAATGCAGGGGTTTTTGTAAGATGAGATCCCACGAAATGGATTTGCATTTGGAGGATTAACAGGGTGGCGCAGACCAGAAAAAATTCGGCAGAAGGTCAAAATATTGAGCTGAAGTGATGGTTACATATTATCTAATATCATCAAATCTCTGCAGATGGATTTGAATCTTCAAAATGAAGTTGACACAATTAGCAGAATATGACTGTATGCATTCCACCTGGAGTATGCTGTCATCTCCCCAACAAAATACACAATAGAGTTACCTTTGAAAATGTGGCGTCGATATCATAGATTGTCCTTAACAAAGATTCCTTCAAAATGTCCATGTAAATTGATCCATCATAGATCCTTGACAATACCCAATTAGACCTGCAATTCCAGCAAATCCAACACATTTTGCCTTGTAGACTTCAGCTTGGTGAGCAATGGAGAGAATATCCAATAAGCCCATTATCAAAACCAATACTGATGAATAGGCACAAGGTGAACAGGTGCACCTTTCAATCTCGCCATTTGAATCATCAAATCCTTCAAGAATTCTTTCTGGTTCTTTGTATGGCAATTTCTCAGCAGATTTCTTTGACAATATGGAATATATATCATCAAGAAGAAAATACACATGCAGAAGAAAATATTCTGGAAGAAGCTTAGATGCCATCTCACTGGCTTCAGCACCATTATGACCATCAAAAACAGCAATTAGATCAACCTTAATCTCCTTGCCCTCTCTCCTTCCTGTTGCAAAATCAGAACATAAAGAAAGGGATAGTGTAAGGTTCAAATATAACATTATTTCAATGATATCTACATGCAATTAGTGCAACTGCTTCATTTGTCTCGGCTCTCTACAAAATTACACGGTTATTAGGAAAACTTACTTCAAGTCCAAAAAGATTTAAATATTTCCAGTCGTTAGGCCAAGAGATGCCAATGAGTGAATATTGAGAAGAAGACAAATGTGATGCCGACAAGTTGATGGCTACCGAGAGACAAACTGTAAGATAAAAGCAATTGCAAGCACAAGGTGTTTAACTTAGATTTGAAGTCAAATTCTCTCCATTTGGAGATATTTATCCCTTATTCAAAGAAGGAGTACAAACTAAACTTGAGGCCAGATAAAATCGCAACCAATTAGTTTCAAGCATGCCAAAATACTAATGAAATTTGTGGATTTTTAGCACCTGTATTTTCATTCTGATTTCTTCAATAAATTTTGCTACTTTAAGTCAATATTTTCTTCTCATTTCCATGCAGTGCAAAACGCAATCAACTTGTTCTATCTTCCACATTTACATGCTATGAGAAAATAAAAAGAGTAGCACAACCAACTAGCAGGCGATGAGAGTCAGAGCAAAACTAGATATAATTCATTCGCCACTTCAACAATTAAAACAGCCCAGGCATACAAAAATACTCAGAAAAATGAAACATTCAAGAATCGAAACATACAAGAAAAAAAGGAAAAATGATCAACTTCCATTACAAAATAAAGCAGATAAAATGAACAAAACGTGAAAACAATTTTAAGCAATGCATACCAGGAAACGGAACTCGCATATCAAGAGCACAGAAAGCACGATCCTCTTGGTGCCTCCTCCTACCCTGAGAGATGGCTACCTGGCAATTAGCCCTCGGCCTCTTCCTTTCATCATCGAGCCTCCATCGAGAGCATTTGTGCGACTGAAACACAGCCGGAGCCCCACCCTCATTGTAGACCATAACACAGGTCGATGATTCCCCATATACGAGTGCACACCGCCAAATAAACAGCAATAAAATCCATAGTAACGAATTCGTCATGAAGAAATAGCTAAGAAGTAGAAATTAGGGTTCCCGAGAAGAAACACAGAGGCATAATAACTTCTTCAAGAACAAAAGGACTGAAAACAACGTACTAAGACTTCAGTGAAAGGAACAAACACTCCATGATGATCCCTTAAAGATGAGAGTGAAATTCTTAGGGTTTTTACTGGACGAGATTCCTTTTTGTTTTTCCCAAAATAGAAAAAGAGATCCATTTCTCATTAACGTTTTGAAGAAAGTTCGGGAAAGAGCGGTCCGAGCCTGAATTGACTGCCCGCCTTTTCCAGTCACTTGTTTTAAAGTGAACTGTTTATTTCTCCGAAATTTTCAATTTCGCGCACGAAATTTTATACCTGAATATCGGGAATTTCGGGTTTGGGCAAACACTAGCTAAAACCAGCGATTAAACTAGGTCTAAGTCTTACCTCTAAATGTAACGAACCCTCGCTAAACTGGGTCATATAAATCTTTCAAACCTCGTTAAACCAGCAGTTAAACTGGGTCAACCTTACAAGAACGGGCAGGGCCAAGCCAAATCGGAGGCAAGACCACAGTTTTAGGGATCAAGTGCAAATTTAGGGGGATGGTGTCCTAAAGTTGAAGGGCTCTCAACCCTGCATAAATACCCAACGAACCTTCACTCTTGGCATCTCTCATCCCCTCTCCTTTTCCCCAAGAAAACTAAATAACAAGAGCGAAGGGGTGAGAACTAAGATTTTTTAATTTTTTTTCAGAATGGGGCTAAAGATCGTTTTATTTCTATGCTTTTTGGGGGTTAGTACCTCCTTTGCACAACAAATGTTCAATGTGAAGGACTTCGGAGCAAAGGCTAGTCCCCAAAATGAGGACACTCAGGTGAGAATTGTATTGTATATGCCACATTCCTTTGTATCAAGTGTACGTGGATGTTACTAGTATTGCATAGATATATTACTTTTAGCTGGTATTGCATAGATATATTACTTTTAACTTGACCTTGCATGCTTATATTTCGTATTTCATGATGGACACATTGTGTCGTTCGTGTGTCTCAAGTTAAATGAAGAGGGTTTCACAATTTTATGCATCAAACTTCTCGCATGTATCTATATTTTAGATATGGATGCCCTCTCCTAAAAACCAAAAATAGCGTTTCCAAAAATTGACACCCACACTACACAACCTGGGAATAGAACCCAGCCGTGGGCCAGGTACGGGTAACTTGGAACCAGTTTGTGTAGCTGGCCCTAACCGAACAGATCTTTATAGGGTTAAAAAAATTTCAAAAAATTCTAAAAAAATATGAAAACTATGATTAAAGTATAATTAAATAAAATACATTTAAATGAGATTAAAAAAATTGATGAAAAAAATAATTTTTTAAAAGTCAATTTGTGCCTAGTTGCATTTTAGAAATAATCCAAAAAAGAAAGAAAATATAAAAATAAGCGTTTATCGCCCAAATGCTTTTCAATCTTTTCTAAAACAGTAGAAAACATTTAAAAAACCTATTACAAATAAATTTTTTATTTTTTGGATTTTTTACAGTATTTTTAATTTATTTTTAAGTTCCTAGCTTAACCGCCATAACCAGCCACGGCCGGTGGCCGGTTCCAGGTAACCCACCCTGTCGACCTGGCCAGTTGTGCTAATGCCGGTGTCCATCGAATACTTGATTATTCAAGGGCGAGAAACTTTCGCATACGACCCTTCCCCGAGGAGAATGAATCATTCCTACAGTTTCTTGCCATCTTTTTACTTATGTGGAGGGTATAAAGAATGAGAAGCCCCCTCATCTGCTGACCACGAAAGGGCTAATATCTGCAGTCCATCAAGCATTTTAAGACTTTTTGGTTAAGCTAGATGGACGGTGGAGATTAGCTTTTCTCTTGCGCCAAGTTCATTACACCATTCCTTTGTTTTCTTTGCCCATGAAAACCATGGATCCTAAATCTATCCCCATCACACACATGGTTTTCTCAGCAAAGCATATGGCTTGGTCTCTCGGTCCAGTTTCAAACTTATAATAACTCATATAACACTTTTTTTTTTCATGTTCATATAAATTTTCACACAATTAACACCATTTAAATTTTATGTTTTATTTGAGATGTTATTAACATTTAAATTTTATATTTTGTTTAGGCATTCTTGGACACATGGAAAGCTGCATGTTCATCGGGAGGGGAGGCGACGTTTTACGTCCCTGAAGGGACCTACTACACCGGGGCCCTGTCCTTCATTGGCCCATGCAAGAACCTTACGAGAATGACCTTCACCGTTAAGGGTACCCTAAAAGCCTTCACCGACTTGGGTAAGTTTGCCAAAGACGGTGCATGGATCATGTTCGGGTGGGTCAATGACCTCACAGTCAACGGTGGTGGTGTCTTTGATGGCCAAGGTACTGCATCTTGGGGCAAAAACAAGTGTGGAAACCAGAAGTATTGCAACCTTCTTCCCACTGTAAGTGGTTTAAACTTCTTTCTAAACATTTTGATTTGATTTGTAAGCATGGAAATAGGATCCATTGGAGCATGAAACAAGAGGATCCTAGAGTTAAGCTGGGGGAGTTGCTGATTCTATTGTTTTGACAAGATCAATAGTCCATCACAAGAGTTTTAGCTAACAAGGTGCACATTTAAACCGGTCATTCACGTTCCAAGAATCGGATTGACCTCACTTTCAATTGTGTTCGGTTTTGCAGAGTTTAAAGTTCCATGCTTCGAAAAATGTAGTCCTCCAAGACGTGACCTCTTTGAACAGTAAGTTCTTCCACATTGCTGTCCTGCAGTCCACAAACTTTAAGGTGACCGGCGTCACTGTCACCGCACCTGGGGACAGCCCGAACACCGACGGGATACACATTGAACGCAGTGTCGGTGTGACCATCTCTCACACTAACATCGGCACCGGGGACGACTGCATATCTATCGGTGAGGGCAACTCCCATGTCTCCATCGACAACGTCAACTGCGGGCCTGGCCATGGCATCAGGTTGTTTTTTATCCTCACTAGTGGCAATTAGGGTTGTTTTTGCCATTTCTGAAAATGAGGAAAGACATTACTGCCATTTTACAAAAGCTTATGAAAGAGGAAGGGCATTATTATCATTTTACAAAAGCTAATGAAAGCCGTGGTATTCCATTTAATAGCTGAAGTTGAGTAATTTCCGTATGAATCTTAAAATTTTAGGTAAAATATGAAATGTTTCATTTATAGATAGAAATCACAAAGAAGGTCGGTCAACTTTTTTTTTTTTTTAAATTACCTCTTAGTCAACCTAAATTTTATCTTTTATTTTAAGCAGCGTTTTAAAAAACGCTGAGTCGAACTGGACTCGCCCGGTTCGACTCGGAATTCGCGAAAAGGGACCGGATCGGTTGAAAAATCGGAAATCGTCCGGTTCTAGAGAGAACCGGACGATTCTGCACAGTGACTGGCCGATTCACTGTACGGAATCGGCTAGTCCGAACAGCGAATCGGCGAGTCCGTTTACGGTTTTTTTTTTTTTTTTTTTTTTTTTTTTTTTTTGTAATCCATGATTAGTATTTTTTTGTAATACTTGATTCGTATTTTTTTGTAATCCATGATCGTAATTTGTTTTTGTTTTTTTGTAATCCATGATTCGTAATTTTTTGGTTTTTTGTAACCC